ATCATAAGGCTCCATCAGGCCTTTCATTATCATTTTTTTAATCAAAATCAAACTCAAACTGAGTGAAAAACTTTCTTCTTACCAAGACCCCAGAAGAAGGCTCCACCACGTTTCTAGCAAGTGCAATCCTCTCATCCACTAAGGCCATACGTGTTCTTGTTTCTCTAATATCTCTGCCGGGGAGATGGAAAGATAACCGATAAGCGGGAAGTGGATCATTCTGCAACAAGAGAAAGCAAACTTAAGTAGTGCATTACAACAGAAGTTATATATAGAACTCCCGATCTCCACTAATATACATGGTCAGGATTAGGAGGAGCCTGCCGCAGACAGTATTAGCTGTACAACTGAATGATATTCAAGATTCAATACGTATTTCATTGGAAATAACTCTATGCTTGGACTAAAGAAGCAATAGGCCAACATCAACTTGTTTAAAAGACCAATTCTCCCCAAAAGTAGTCACTACAATTACCTCGGGGAAATTACTGAAAATAAGTAACAAAACAATAATAGCTATTCGAACACAATAATTAACCCAACTAACAGGAAGCTTACTGACAAAACAACCAATCACAATCAAAACAGTGCCCTGACTAAGAACTTACAAGAAAATCTTCAACGCAACATTTTCTAAACTTGGTAACATGAACTAATATAATAACTTCAGCAGATAAACGGACCAAAATTCAACAAAAATTTAAACCAAAAAAAAAACCAGAATCCACCTCAAAAGGTTTCGAGATTCTAATTCCCGTCCGGTGATCTATCCTCAGAGGATCTAACTTTTCCCTCGCAAAAATAGCCGCGCCTTCGCCGCGAGTGGTAGCTAAATAAGTGGAAATCGTCGCCATCGTTGTGACTAGCAAAACAAAGTATCAGCTAAGGACTTCCAAACAATTACCCCAACCAAACAGCGATTCACACGGTTGATTCCGTAAAATGTGAAAATGCAAACCTAAGGATTCGCACCCGTGGAAAGCGACAGTGAAGGAGAGAAAAAAAATTGCAATCTTGGAGCCGTAATGCTGTACGTATTGATGGATTATTACAGTGAAGGAGAAGATGAAACGGGAGAGGCGGAGACACCAAGGTGGACGGTGCTTCAGACCTCCCACTGGTGAGACAAAAAGGGCGTTTTAGACGGTTCTTGTCAATTTTATTTTTGCGTGGTGAGTCAACCGATAATCTGTTCTCTTTTTACACGTGGCGTGTATGATAAGCAGCCAGCGCCAATCTTTTAGGAACCTATGTGGCACATGACGATTAGGATTTTAGTGGACGTGTGAGTTATTCACTTTGAAAACCTGTTTTGTAATTTGATTCCTTTATTTTTTATTTTCTAGTTTAACTATTCCACGTCAGCCAATAAATTCCTATTTTATATAGGAAAGGCCAACAAAAATCAAATATCCAACCCCGTTATTAGCATTATTATTTACTAATTAATAATCACGAATTTAAAATTTATTGAACATAAATAATTTGTCATTTTATAACTAAATTATAAATTAATAATAATTAATTCGTAATATTTAATTTAACAAAATTTAAAATATAATGGGGTCCAGAATTTAAGTCCGTAATAATTAAATTATAATAATAAAATAAATTAAAAAATTTAACTTTAATTTTTGTTAAATTTTTGAAGAAAATTATGTTTTGTATGCTTTTAAAAATCAGAGACGAAATAGAAATAAAGAATGACATATTTAAAAAAAAAAATCTGAAAAACTAAGGTAAAGTAAAAATAATGAAATTTTGGCCATGTGGACTGCCGCGTAAGCAGCGCGGCCAGTGGTCGTGCGTCACGTGGCAAACTCATGGACACGTGTCCACGCCGGAAGCCACGCGGTCGATCCACGTGCCAGCAGATCCAATGATCCAAATCTCCTCTCGTGCACACGGACAACCCAAATTTGTTCCCTCTTCAGATGCAATTGAATGGTTAGATTTAATCCAATCATGCGGTTCAAAATTATTCCCTCAATTAAGAGCAATCCAATATATGGGAGAGGGTCATGTGTTCCTACACGAACAGTCAAGATCGACGCGGAGAGGGTATTTAAACATCGCATCCTAGAAAACTCTAATCCTATCCGCACCTATCCTTGCCAGAAAAGAAGAAGAAAGGCGGCCGGAAAGAAATTCGACCATCGTCGCTGCCACACCGGAGCCACTGCTGACATTGGAGAGGTAAGTGTTTCTTCCCTTTTCGTTCGGAATTCAATTTTGAACCTCTCTACACTCATATTAGAGCTTAAAAGCTAAAAGAGAAGTTAGAAACCGAGAGCGGAGCTCGGCTAAGCCACTGCGGTTGCGACCCAAAAATCGCTCCAGTGAGTTTTTTTTTTTTGTTTTCTGTTCCCTTTAATTTTTTGACCGCGATGTTCCTAATCATTTTCTAGTGCAGGTCGACCGAAGAGAATCCCTGGTCGCAAGAGAGGAACGGCAAAGCCGCCGCACCAGAAAATTTCTCCAGTCGGTAAAGCTTCAATTTTTCCTTTTTCGGCCAACAGAGGTCGTCTAACCCCGTTTTTGCAAGTTTTTGTGCAAAACATGCCAAAATCAATAAAAAACGACCAAGTCAAGAAGGAGACACCTCCGTAGGCAACGAAGTCGGTGTTGGAGCATGGCGACTCCACTGTGCCGGAACCCTAAACCGGCCGAAAAAATTAAAAATATTTTTTTAGCCTTTTTGGAGTATTTTAGAATAGACACGTGTTTTTGAATTTCGCAGGAAAAATTCAGAAAATTCGAGAACCACCAGGAAGCACAGTGAAAGAGTGTAATAACTGGAAAAAAAAAAAGAGAAAATTAGTATGTTTGTATATATGTAAATATAGAGTGAGGATTTGAGAGGTGAAACGGTACCGTTTGGTGAAGAGGGGGAGGAAACGACGTCATTTGGAGAAGAGGAGGAGGAAAACGGCGTCGTTTAGAGGAAACAACATCGTTTGGAGAAGAGAAGGAGGAAAACAACGTCGTTTGGAGAAGTGGGAGAGGAAACAACATCGTTTGGAGAAAGGGGGAGTGGACGGTTGGGATGAGGTGAGATGGACGGGCAGGATGAGAGGCTGGTGGGGTATAAATAGGAGAAGGGAAAGAAAAAAAAAAGAGGAGGAGGTAAGAAAAGAAAGAAAGCAGATAAAAGAGAGATCGGGAGCGGGAAGAGAAGGTGTAACGGCCCCGGAATTTAAATAAAAATGTATGTATATAAAAATTTTGATTAACATCTCTTACACAATAACCAAAAACGTACTCAAAACATGAAAGAATAAGCTAATTAAAAGAGATACTTGAAATAAAAACTATAAATAGAACTATAAAGTCTTTAGGCGTCTAACTCGCCGTCTTCCTGCAGAACGGGCTCGGGAACCTGACCCCGTCTTCTTGATCTGAAATGGTTAAGTAAGGAATAAGCTACACTAGCCCAGTAAAAATATCACACTATCTCACTGCCACAGGAGTAAAGGTCGGTAGAAAACAAAAACCACAAATGGAGCATAATTTATAACAAACTCATTTATTAACATAAAAACCTTTACTGTCCACTTATCTCGGTGAGATTCATAAAAATAACATATGAAAACAATAACATTATAACCATCATAAAATCATATCGACTTTGTAACAGAACACATGTCATACTTTTGTACTTCAATAATCAGACAATAAATTTCCTCTTTTACCAGCCTACTAGTATCCATGGGGATCCAGAGGGGGTCCCCGCTACACGTGAACCATTAACATTAATAACCTGATTATAGGACCGTCCCCATACCCCGTCCGATATGGGCGTCAAAATCATAAATCTCAATACCCCATCCAGTATGAGGGTGAAACGAGCTGTCCCCATACCCCATCCGGTATGGGCGCCAAAACACATAAGGTCTCCATACCCCGTCCGGTATGAGAGACCACGTTCCCGGTAAGGTTCCCTACGGACCTGGTCCGTCCGCCATCTCCTAGGATATCTAGTCAGGCTGTCCACATTATCCATTTATCACTTCACATATTCTTTTTTCTATTTTTCTTGGTCTCAATCATCCAATCATACACAAATATGTAAACTAGAAATTGGCACCAAACAAGACAACACAGTATCGGGTTCACCATAATACAAACCATAATAAAATAAACTATGATTCATGCATACGAGACCATAAAATAAATACATCAAATACCATACTGCATTTAATACTGAAAAATAAATCAAACAACAACTGACCAACAATGTATCAGATTCGGACTCCATTGGCAATCTCAATCAATTATACATATTAATAAAGTCACAAAATACTGTTTAATTATTTATTAAGCTTTAATACCGTGATAGGAGGTAGGGTGAGAGATCCTTACTTGTTTCGGGATCTGAAATCGGCTCTACGGTGCGCCTATGGGCTGTCCCTAAATTCTCTGAATTTTTTCTGGAAAATTAAAATGTACTACTGGTACCTGCACGTGTCCCAAAAAAAAAATTCCAAGTCATACCTAGGGCCCCTTTCAGCCAATATCGGAATTCCATCACGGTGGCTTACGAATTCGGCCAAACTTGCATTGGTCCCTGCGATAAAACAACCCTAGGGCCCTCGGTGAGCTAAAAAATCACGAAAAAAAAGACTTACCGGCGGTGGCGCTCTCGGGTGCGGCGGCTTCTCCGGCGCGAGTTGCATTTTGATGTTTTACTTCGGTCAACCTGTAGAGAAAAGGACGGTGATCACAATGGTATAAAAATTGCATCGAACGGAGAACGGAAAGGGCCTCATCGGAGGTAAAAATAGAGGGAAGCCGTGGCGGCGGTGCTAGACTTCGGCGGGGTTTTCCGGCTGATTAGCCGGTGGTTTGGCTTTGATTTGGCCATAGGTAGATTCGGCATCGAAAAACGAGCCAATGAGAGAAAATCTACCTCGATTGGCAGTTGAAAAATTCTTCGGTGCGGCGGCGGGTGGCGGCGGCCGGCTCCTCCGGCGTCTGGTTCTTCTTCTCCAGCGAGGCACTGGCGGCTAGGGTTTGTGGTCGGGTGTGGGTGGGGTTATTTATACCCTCCCCCTTTTAATCTTAACCGTCCATCAAGATTTAATCTGGACCATCCGTTCGCGATTTATTTGGGATTAAATCTGAGTCGTCCATCGCGATACGATCTGGGTCGTCCATTGTGATGCGATCCGGACCGTCCATGCTTGATTGAATCTGGGCCGTCCGTACACGTGAGATCTGGGCCGTCCGTGCGCACATTTGATCTGGGCTGTCCGTGCGCGCGGGAATGGATCTGGACTGTCCGATCGCGCACACACGGATCGCCCACGTGGCCCGTCCCGTGTTAGCGTTCCTTGCCACGCGATGTGTCCTGGTTGGGCGGGGCTGCTGATGTGGCACAATTTTTTTAAATTACGTTTTGACCCCCGATTTCAGATTTTCTTTTCAAAAACACCCCCAGAATCTAAATTTTCACTCTTTTTTCCCAAAATCAATTTCAATTAAATCCAAAAAAATTATTTTACCCTATTTTATCATTATTTTTTTTATTTTCATTAAATTAAATTAAATTAAATTGAAATAAAATTTTATAAATTAAATATATATATATATAAATAAACAAAAATAAAAATAATAATTTGGGTGTTACAGAAGGTTCGAGAGAGAGAGAGAGAGAGGAGCTGGATTAGAGAGAAACGAGGAGAGAGAGGGAGCAAGAAGGTGGACCGTGACGGTGGGAGCCACGGGAGGAAGGAAGATGGAGATGAGAGGTACGGTAAATTTTAAGTTCTTGTATAGGTGTGGTGTGATTTCGAATTGGTGATTTTAGGTTGAGAAATCTAGGTTCTGTTTAGTATATAAAGCAATAGAACTACGATGTAGGGACAGGCGGGTGTGGATGGCAGGTGGAATCGTGGAGGTGTCCACGGAGGAGATCGCGAGAAGAGAGAGAGAGAAGACGTTGGAGAGTGGGAGAGGTCAGCGAGAGAGTGAGGATATTTTGTGTAAAATGAGTGAAAGTACATGGTGGAGGCCGCGGGATGAGAGAGGGAACGAGGAGGTCGGTGAGCGAGTGAGATCCGTGAAGGCGTGGAGATTTTGTGTGTGTGCGAGCAGGGTGCATGGAGGAGGCTGCGGGAGGAGAGAGAAGGAAGAATGAGGTTTGTGAATGTTCTGTGAG